CTGGGTTCGAATCCCGGAGAAGGCATGGTTATAAACTGTTCGTCCTTTCATAGGAGGCGATAGTAGCCCACATATTAGATGCCTCCATAATAAAGTGACTGCAACTTCTGGCCTTGTATAGACTAATGGACTGTGTTGTACTGTAACTGTTCCCAATCTGCCATTGGGGAAAAAATATTTTTAAAAAAATAATAATAATCGTAATACAATGATTGTTCGAATTACAGTATAACTTCAAAAGCAATTAGATTTTTCGCTCAGCAGAGTAATAAGTCGTCTTTTGAATACTACTAGTTCAAATCGGATGCCCATTTTGGCAAACAATCTAAATGTTTAGATAGCTCCGTGGATTTCCTTATGTGTAACATGAATACAAATCATTTTATTTTAGAAAGTTCTCTATGAGTACATCATTCTTCTTAAACGTTTCGTTGCATTCAATTAAATAAAGATCTTTTCCTGCTTTTATTAACGGGTGATGTGAACATGAGCCAGTTTCCCTTAGAAAGTCCTCCACAGAAGCATCTTTGCAGTCTTTACCGTAATCCAAATAATATGACAATCACAGGTGCATAAGAAAATTGTACTTTTATTTGTTCTTACGTGAAACAATGATGGAAAATAGTTCATGCAAGTACTTTCACTTGTAACTGAATAATGCATTTTAACTATTTATGGAAAATGTGTGTTATGTTGAATAAAAGACCAATTCGTAATTTTTTTTTTTCCAATGGCAGGTAGTAGCCGTTTATAGACATTGATCACTACTAAGGCCGGTCATGTTATTAAGGAGGGAACTAATACGTGGGCCACCGTTGCCACCTATGAAGAGGACGAACAAAAATTACATTCATGCCCTATCCGGGATTCGAACCCAGGCTCTTCGGTACGGCAACCAGAGTCACGAACCGCTTTACTGTCTGGGCGGTAATTCATAATAAATGGATTTAGTAAAATGTCTAATACACACAGCAATTAAGCATACTGATTGCTGATCAGAATCCTTTTTTACCAGCTAAAGCAATAGGTTGGATAAAATTATGAGACTTAGTTTAGTCCTTGATGATCTCCTTTCTGAAAAGAAAAGGATAAATGTAATTTTTATGATTTATTTCTTGTGTAATGTAAACAAGACAAGCGTCCCGTAACAAATCCTTTGCGAAAACATCCCTTTGCACTGGCATAAACTCTTTGCTTGCTTTCCCTTAATCTTGTAATTTAAGTTCACATGTATATCGAAGATCATAAACATACATATTTGCTTACTAACGTTATGTGCATTTCGGTCTGTATAAAATATTTCCTTTAAATAAACTCCAATTTATGCTGGTACCAATATATGAAAGTATGCAAACTACAATATATGAAAACTACAATATATGAAAGATGATTCAGAAGACATGACAGAAAATATTAATATTTTTCTTATAGGTGATTATCCCGTTGTATTATTTAAAAACTCATTATCCAAAATGCAGAAACATTTCGAATATAATATTATTGACTGTAATTTTCAAATATTATCACGATTTCCTTAGCCTATGTCACTGAAATTATAAGGGGCAGTTGTTTTTCTGATTAAATAGTTACAATCATCTGCTGCGCAATTTTAATTAAGAGGTCATTACAATTGCATTGTAATTTTTATTAGATTATATAATTACAGTTATACTGTTTATTCAATTAGATTTCACAATTAAAATGCAATTATAATTAAAATGCATTTGAGTAAATTGTATATGTAATTAAAAATTGTTACATTGTAATTACAAGATAATTGCATAATATTATTCCAATTACTATGTGTTTTTCAATTGCATTCTGCAATTACATTTGCAATTAAGATCATGATTTTCCTGGGCTACGTAACTGCTTTTATCAGAAACAATTGCTATCCTAATTACATTATTATAATTACTTACTGGAGTTACAATGACAGTGTAATTGTAATTAGATTATATGATTGCAGTTGCATTGAATATGAAATTGGATTTCACAAATATAGAGTAATTGTAATTTAAATGAAATTACGTAAATTGTAATTGTAATTAAAAAAACAGCTACTTTTTAACTATAAACTACTTAGTAATTGCATAATTTTATTACAATTGCATACTACACTTAGAATTACAATTATGATCATAATTTCACTATGTTAAGTAATTCTAATTATCAGAGACAATTACTTTCCTAATTACGTAGTTATAATTACCTACTGCAATTGCAGTTAAAATTACGTTGTTGTAATTAGCTAATATTACCGTAGTTGTGATTAGATGCAATAAAATTTGTAATTGTAATTAGATTATATAATTATAATGTTTGTGATTATCATTGCATTGTAATTGTAAGACTTAAGAATTAAAATGCAATTACATACATTATTGTTGCATTTAAAAAGTACTTACTTTCTAATTGTAATTGCGAAGCTAATTACAATTGCAATATAATTGAAATCACATATTTCAAAATATTGTTGCAGTTTCTTGCAATTTTAATTTTAATTCCAATTACATTTTGCCAAACTGCATCTAAAATTTGGAGAATAATTAGGCTGGAAAATGAAAATTCTCTTTACGAACATAAACATTTAAGTTTACTATAGCTGGTATAAGCACAGAACAGCTGGAAGTTTTGAACGAGCTATTTATTCCGAGCTGTTATTCAAAACCTAACGATAAAACCCATTTGCCCCTAGCGAATAGATAGTTTCCTCTCCTCAATTACCTCCCGCAGAGAAAAATTATCACCTGTCAGTTTACATTAAGAGCAGAGAGGGGAGGGCACTCTGAGACAGGCCGTATATATGCTGCTTTGCCGTTTCGTGCCAAAATTTAAGTTTACGTATATATGCTGCCTTGCCGCCATGAGGACCAAAATAGTTGGACGCATATATGCTGCCTTGCCGTTATGAAAGCCATTATTTTCGAACGCATATATACGGCCTTGCCGCCTGGAGGGCTAGTGCGCATGTATTCAGATGCATTGGAAAGAAGAAAGTAATTAAGGCAAGGTTTTGGAAGGTGAAATTAGAGCGTGTTCTGCTTGCTTTAAGTCCACGTTGATATCTTTGACTCTCTGGCGATTAGATTTTCTTCGGCGTTGAGTTATTCTTGCAATTAAGCTTGTTTACGTCGACTTTCGAGTCAGACCCAAATTGCGCGGCGCGACAGTTAACCTATTTAACTTCATTAATTTTTAAGTTGTTCTTTACCTTCTGATTTAAGCCAAAAGTGTTGGCTTTTGTAAGCACTGGTTAGTGTCGTCTGTCCAGATTTGAGTAAATAAAGCGTTCTTTACACCCTTCGCCTGGCTTTGTAGTACTTTAAGGACTTCGTGATAATTCACTGAAAAATTTTTAACGTGGAATGCATTTTATGATAGCGAAGCAAGCAAGACGTTATATGGTATATAACTACGCTGTGGCTGGGGTCTGGAAATTGAAACCGTTTGCAATTTTATGGGGTCGCACTTTCATCTAGTTTAACTACCACTAGGTTAGAACATAAGATTAGAATTCCCATTGTCGGAACCGAGTTAATAAGTGAAATTAGTATCGTGTTTTTCTGCTTTAAATATTTTAGTTCCTGAAACCCAGAATGCGGCGGTGGCCAGCATTTGTGAATTTTTAATTGTGCTACAAACACATAGTTTTAATAAATCTTTTATTGAAATTTTATCTTTTGTCTATGTACTTGATTTCAGTTAGATTTCTATTTAACTGCAAAGACAATAATTCGTAGGAATGAACAAAGATTGAACAGGTATAATTAGATATTTTTTCTATTCTATTTGTTTGGTAACTTTCCAACAGTCAGAATAAATTTGTGGTACCATCTGCAACGTTTTCAATAATTTTATTAAAAAGGATAGAGCCAGTTCTAATAGGAGCAGTGACAACAAACGAAATTGTTCCTCTACATATACTACCAAACACCCACTGTTCGGGTAATACTCGACCACAATTATTTTTATGCTTGGTAAACAAACTTTCATCAATTTCCACAATGCGATCTGGTCTACCTACCTTTATTATTATTTATCCTTATCGTTATCGTTACTTCTAACTAATTAATCAAGGTAAAACAAAACTGTTTACCTTGTTCCAATGGGTTCTGCCAGGGCCATAGGGCTGGAACTGATTTCTTCTGTTCATCTCTATCTGCAAAATCTTGAGAGGAATAATCCATAAATGATAAATACCTTCTTTACACAAACATATTTAATGAAGACGCAAAACGGTTAACAGAATATTTACATAATGAAAAAGGTTTAAATGTTCGCACGACGCAGCGTGCGACTTCTCAGTTCCGAGTTCTCGTGCGATCTTCAGAGTTCAGAGTTCGAGATGACGTCCCTCAGCCATCGGATCTCAGCAAGAGTTGAGTTGCAACAACCTTCTTGTTTGTTTTATTCTCCATATCCAAGACACATAAATCACGCATGTAATTGTTCCAATCTATAACAGTTTTATGCGATAAATCAAGTTGCTCTTTAACAAAATTTAATCAACATCAACTCCTCGCACCAGCAGTATATGAATCTCAAAGCTGAAGAAAATGGAAATTCTGCTTCCTTCAAACCAGTTGTCTTTTCTAAGTCCCACTTGCTGATCTCACTGTCTTAAATAAAACGTACGTTTCCAAAACATATAAGCTTTACCAATGAGAGATACCTAGAGACAATGAGGACATCTTTGTAAGTTTAAAAGAATGTTCTAACTTATTTCATTTTAAATGAAATTTTCTTTTCTTACAATTATACCAGCTTCATAGCATGCGAATTGGTACATTTTTGTTTTTTTGGTAAAATATTTCGCTTCTGAAAAAATGAAATTGCATCTTCTTCTGTGTTTGGCGAAATCCCAAAGATGCATTTTCATAGCACTTAAAAAATGATGTCAAAAATCAGCAAACAACAAGGCGAAAAGGAATCCAAAATATAACTGCGTGCGAACAACAGGATTGCTCTTTATTGGCGCATCAGCGCAACTTCTGCTGCGGTGGCGTTAATACGTAAGTGCGGTGGCGTTAACATGTAAGTACCATGGTTTGATGTCATTAAGCATATTACTACAAGGTTCTTTGGAACCCACTTCATTCAATTTATTTCTGAAGTATTAACACGATTTTAAAATTAGACCAAAAAGCTGCCTGAGATTGGCCAACATTGGGAATGCAGTTTATGAGTTTCAATGGCAATGAAGTACAAGTTCTTTTTCAGAAGCATAGAAATTTTGCAAAAGTGGGAGAAGCACTAACCTAATTTATTTCCAAGCAATTGAGGGGGGGGGAAGAAGCAAAGAGAAAATGACTGTAGCACCATCTATTAAGGAAAACAATTAGCTAAAATGTCAGAATTTCAAAAGTATTAGAAAGAATTGGATTGGAATTAATGCCGTTAAAGAAGAAGAAAATAATACCTAAAGAATGTAAAGTAACACAGATTTGAAATATTGAAGTTTTTTTTATAATATTACTTTTTTGCTTATTATATTTTTCCTTCTCTTATAGTTATGATATTAAGTCGCTGCATGGATCATATGACCTTTGTGCATAGTCGATATCTGAGTGTATACCGTGATGCTGAGCGTCAACAGTTTGAAGAACTGATGACGGTAAGAAATAACTATTTTAATTGCATGCAAATTAGCTGTCAACAAAGTGCACTGATTGTTAGATGTACCGAGGAAGTTATAGGAAACGATAAAAAAACTGATAAATTCTCCAGTCTTTGTCAAAAACCAGGCATGAGAATTATTAACAAAGCCATGTTTATTAATGAGCTACTTTCCTTTTTAAAGGTTTTTCTTAAAACATACAATATACTTATTTTCTCCGTGCTGCGAAATTTTATCAGCATCAATGGGATTGCAAGGAAATAATAAAACATCAGTTTTTTTTTCAAGTAAAGTGCACTGTTGGTCAGTGATAAATATGTTTTTAATAAAACGTACAAGGAAATTCCGCCTTCTTCATTGGGTTTCTTCGCGGTTTAAGAGGTAGCAGGTTCGGCTAAGGTATCCGACCTCGTACAAAAGACGATTTTCGGTCAAAATTTCGATTTTTACTTTATTACATTATCTTAAAGAATACATCTTTAGCTATCAAATACAAGTTTTTGCTTGTTGATAGGTTAATTAGAACTGAAGTTATAAGCATTTTTCTGTAACTGAATAAACCGGAAGTTCCAATATTCTGGGCCGGAAGTGAGCATTTAAATAGATATACCTATTTAGAAACTTTATTTATCATCAAGATTTTGTAAATTATAAACCTGCGTACTAAGTTTAGATATTTTGTAATACATTTTAAGAATCTGGTGTTAGTTTTTTTCCCTTAATTTCGTATTTAGTTTGGCGCAGAGGGTATTCGACGTTGAATGTATGTGTTGCTGCTTTGTCGATTAGCGTTGACAAAGTGCTTGATTTGAAAGCTATGTCACATTTTTGCATCATTTGCAACAAAATAAACAGAATGGCATGCAATCTTCAGCACGACATATGTAAAGTGTAATATAATTGTTCTGCAAATTATAAAGAAGCAGCTTCGGGTATGGAAGCAGTTGGTGCTTATTCCCTGTTTGAATGATCTATTATATTATGAAAGCTATATATGGCAAAGATTCGGTCAAGAAAGTGGAATGCATTGAACATGTATAGAAAAGGGTTGGTAGTGGACTACGAAAAGTAAAAACTCCGCTCCTGAATTGAAAGGAAAAGGTAAACTGACTGATTCTTTTATTGATAAACTGCAGAATTAGGGATTGCAATTAGAAGTCATGTTTGAAACTTAATTGAGATGCAGCAGGTTGTACTAACTGCTTGTTCCATTGTAGCTCTTCTTTGAAGCCAATGCCCTCCTCAATATTCAATGAATTGGTGCAACTATGAATGTGTGATTGCAGAAATCAGGAAAAAAATCAGAAAGGAAAAAAAAAAAAAAAAAACCTCTGGTATATCAATATATATTTTTGAATTTAATTAAACCTACATATATGGAGTTGACTATATAAACAAGAGTTATTAAAAAGTGTCTACATGGCAAAACTCAAAATATCAAGGAATGTTTTAATGGCATTTTATTGCAAATTGTTCCGAAAGAAACATTCATAAACTTGCGAATATTAATGCTTGGAGCAAATGTAAGTGTTGTGTTATTTAATGATGGATTTATAGGTTTGCTTGAAGCATTTTCAAGGTTAGGTATGTGCCCTGAATTTTACACTGAGCAGGGAATTCGAAAACTTGATAAAGTGCAAAATCATGACTTTTGGTGGCATTCCACAAGTTTTACAAAACCCAAAGAAAAATTACGCTTTGTTCGAAAGAAAAATTGCAAAGTGTGGGAAGAAAAAACAAGGTGTTAAGTTACAAAGCAGGGGAATTTTAATTGTCAGGGATGCTTCTTTCACTAAGAAATTGTTTTATGAAAACTTTAAACTTGTTTTCTGAAAAATGTTTTTCTGTAAATATTGCCAATGGTAACAGCCATAACTCGAAATTTTATGGATAAAATTTAATGATACTTTCTATACATGTTTCATATAATCTGATGCAAAAGATTTTAGAAATATTAATTAGAAGTTGAATTGTTACTTTTTATTTTTACATTTTGGATGCAATATAATAGGTGTTGGTGTATTTAATTACGGCAAAGCATACTAGGGCTATCTGCCTAAGGAAAAAGATGCCTTTCGTGGAGGATTTTATAAAGGAAACTGGCTCGTATACACGTTACACATGGGGAAAACCACGAAAACACCCATGCAGCCAGCCCGTTCGCGGGATTCGAACTTCGGACCGAACTACCAGTGTTCAGCGACTTTACCGCTCGGCCGCTGGTGGGCTGCAATAATGGGAAAATATACAGTAAATACTATACATTTTGACATACCTCAGGAATATATGAATATTTCTTAATTATTTTGCTTCATTGCATACAAAACAAGTGTAAATTTAATACAAATTAAAAAAACTGCATATTTATATATACATTGTTCACCGTGGTTGTTGCAGTAAAGGCAAAATTTAAGCAAAAATTACCCTTTTTTTTTCATTATTTTTCAAAATTAAAATTACTTAGCATTACGTTTTAAATTGTTTTCACTCATTAATATGCTTATCTTCAAATTAATACGTTTATAGTTAAAATAAAAACCATTTTTAAAATAATGGTACCCGAACGAGGTCGGATACCTTAACAGTTGGAAGATTCGGATTTCGAATTACGGCGAAGGATCGCTGACTTCCTGTGTTTATCGTTTTGAAAAATCTAACAGACTACAAATGGCTTTCAACTAAAAATGTGGTGGAAATAATTCCCAACCATCTGGCGAATGCGCCTCCTCTGTTACCAGTCCCCCTTAAATAGCCAAAAATGTAAAGAACTTTCACCTTCCTCTCATAGTGTGCTTTTGCGTTGTAATTGATAGCAGACGTCTGGATAGTAAGTGGAAGATCTGGTGCTCGAACAGGGACGTAGCTAAAGGGAGGCTTCTGTTCCTGGGCGTAGAATTCGGGGGCGGGCGCCAAACTGATGTTACGAAATTTTAGAATTAAATGTTTTCCATTCTAGGCAAATAAGAGGGGGCGAGAAATCTTCAGCTATCTCCGGGCGCTGAAAACCCTAGTTACGACTCTGTGCGTGAATCCCGGCAATAGCCTAGCTGATTTTTCGTTATTTCCTGCTTCGAAAAGAAAAGTAGACTGTACTAAACAAGGATCTGTAATATTATGTATTTTACTGATTAATTTTTTAAGTCAGAAACTCTGCAACTTTATAAAAGACAGCGCAAAGTCGTGAACAAAATTATATAAAAATAAAATAAATACTACTATGATTATGACGCACTGAGAAAACGGTGTAGCACCAGGGTGCCTGGGTCAAGGACCCTACCCCTTGTAAAACAGATATGTTATTTCGAATACTGTCATGAGTAACTAGTATATATTTAGAATTTATATATAATATATATATAATTAAATCATGTTTTTAATATTTTTAAAAATTATGAGAATAGAGATAAGAGATAAATTAAAGGATAAATTTCTAAAAAGACTAAAGTGTCCGTCAATTTCAATAGACCTTAAGTGCTATCTGGGAAGGCCGAGAAAGGAAGAATGAGCTGGCTATAGCGTGATGCAGAAAAAACATTCGTATAAATAATAGGCAAAGTAGTGCGAGTTTCTTGGTGCACTAGTAATAATTAAACCTTAAATCTATAACACAATATTAAGAGGTACATATGAGATTAAATAAGTTATACAATATGGGTACTAAGTACAGCCATAGGCCGTTTACTATTATTTGGGTCATTAAAGTCGTAATCGTATAAAGAGGTTTTGAGAATTTTACTGCAAGGTGATATATAAAAGATTTAAGTCTTAAGGACCCATACACAGTCGAAGATACTTAGCGAGAATGTCCTGGGCATATACTAAGATACAAATTAGGAGAATGTTTTGGGAGTAGTGGGATGTTATGGAATTTGCTGAAGATACGGTAAGTAGGACGTACCATACACTGTCGATGCGACCTTGCGAAGACGTCTTGGGAGGGGACAATAAGCTGCAGAGAGGATGTGTTTGGAAAGTTACAGGGATATTTCAAGATGTCCGACTGTATGCGTTTAGGTCACGAGGAATATCCTCAAAACGTGGAAATAAATAATGAGTAATTAAATTCAAACAAGAGTGTACAGAAAAAATAAAATACTAATACATTTATTCTTCATGTGGCCCCCTCAAGGATTCCCGCATCAGGCGTACATTCAAAGGAACTACTTCTGTATATATTACTAAGTGCCATAAGAAATTTTACTCGACTAAAAGAGTAATGCTTGCTGATAATGCGATTATATTGTACGATAAAGTTAAAAGAAATGTTGTATAAATGAGCAGAATTTCCTGCTGATAACACGATTAGGTTTTATAAAAAACGTGCTTTCTTGTAAAAGCCGAGGTGTACTGAAGTTGAATTCTGAATGAATTTAAGCACTGCATATACAGTACATTCAATTTTGAAAGTGAAATCTTCAAAGAAACAGTAAATGTACACATTAATCTACATTTACTGTTTCTATGTATAAATGTACACCTTCTTGCTTACAATATACTATGTTGCTAATGACGTTCTTCTTAGTACATTGAATTTGTTTACGTATTTCATTTATATCTAGACCATATTAAGAAGCTTTTTTTAGTTAGATTCTGGATGCTAGTATAGATGTTTATTTCTAACTTTTCCAAAGTGCGAGTATTATTTATAAACACAGAACACTATTCATATTATTAAGTATTTTCACAAAAATTAGTCTAGACTCGTAAGAACTGGAAATCTCTTTGGTTATAATTTTCAGTCAGGATTCTGTTGCTAAAATGCTCCACCAATACCTTTGGGGTGCAATCTGCACAATATTGCTGCATCAAAGAGTGGTATTTATTCGTTTGCAATAAGACAATTAACTGCCAGATAATACTGAATTACGTTCATAGGATTGAAACCGCGTAGAATTGCCATGGCACAGGATCGACACTGCAGAACGGCGATACGGAGGAAAATGACAACGACACTGACATATAATCGACACTCCTATTCCGGCAGGCAGGCTGTCCAT